CCATGAATTTCAACGACTTCCGATGACCGGACGAGCAGCGACGAGCGACTCTTCGTCCCGCCTCCATCTCCATCTCTCCGGTTCTACAGAACGCGTCCAAATTTGGGCCCGCGACGCACCCGAGCAGCGCGCGCCTTCCACCGCGACCGCCCTCGCCTCCCTCCCAGCTGCGTTTCTGCGCAAAGCTGGCATGCCACCGGAGCCGCCCTTGGCCCACTTGGCGCACGCACTCGGAATGTCGCCCTGCCGATGCAATTAGTTCCTTGCACACACTGCCAAGCGAAACAGGCGGTCTTGATCGCTGGGGTCACGGTGATCACACGCATATGTTTGCACTCAACTGCACTGCGGAGGTAGAGAGAAAAAAAGGAAGACGAAAGAAGGAGTAAAAGAAATAATACAGAAAGAAGGAAATGACGAAGCGAAAAGGAAAACACCGACAGATAGCCAAGCCCCCAGCGAGTAAACACGGCGGCGATCGGCCGTGCCAATAACGAGCGGCGTCGGCAGGCGGTGGCAGGTGGGAGATGGACGAGGGACGCGAGGTGACGAAGGAAAATACATAGAAGAGTACGCAGCAACAGAAACGGAATCGGAAATAGGGTAAACGATGGAAATGGGAGTGCGGTAGTTTTCGGAGTTCGAACAGAGACACATGACAAGAACGAGGAAAAGGAGAATGAAACAGAGCGCGAGAACGTGTCTGTGTGAGAGAAAATGGAAATATGGTAAAATAAAAGCCGGGGTCTGAGTGGAAATGTGATGCGGGAAAGGAAAGCGGGCGAAGTCAGTGTTAACCACTCCATCTTCAAGTTACAAAGCAGAGAACGGTCACTGAGACATAATTTGAGCGCGCAATAAGAAGACAAAACCACAACGATGACACAAAGCAAGATGGCGAGAATCGCAAGATCGAGAGAGGTAGGAGGTGCTCACGAGAAGTCAGGCTTGAATGGAGCTTTCTGTCGTCAAAAGCAGCATTTCTGGACTCGCTTCTCACTGACGGAAATGTGTGGCATCCTATCGCGGCGTGAGTGGAGCACTCGACGTATCGGCCGACTTAAGAAGATAGGAGACGGAGGAAACGTGTCGCTCTAGTCAATAACAGACGCATATTTTCCGCGTCCTCGGATCTCACGCCTGTGAGCGCGGAAATCCTCGGAAATAAGAATTTTCTCATCAAAGCACGATGGCGATCAGCAACAGGCCTGTCATAGCGTGCGAGTGGGCAATCATGGAGTATCGTGCCGAATAAAAGGTTCGTGTCGAGTGTTTGTATGATACTGTAGCATGTCCACTACAGATACATCAGCTTTAATATCACGCATACTTCCCACTATTACCCTGTGTGAGGCGATGCAAAAACCAGCATCAACTGAGATAGTCAGAAAGTCTGTGTTTATCAGCACTGGCCGAAATACACACCTTGGGAGGACGGTCTTACAGCATTCAAGCGTAGACACTACATAGACGAAATGTTCACGTCATCATCTACAAACCACCGCCAGCGCCAAGTCCCGTTGAAATACATAAGAGACACGAAAGGCAGCCCCACTGCAGCCCGTGTCGTGCAAATGGCTCAGCAGGGAGCTTAGTTAGACCATACAGTAGGGAGCATGCATAGCTCGTGACGCACTCGGACCCAGGTCGATATGGAATCAATCCACGCATGACCCGGCCCAAGTCATGACACCTCCACAAGTTCAACCGAAATCCACCAGAATGTTCTGAAATCCCCCTTCTCATACCGCCATACCTACGCATGACGCATACCGCGAGAACGACCTCGTGGCCGGTGAGGTCACTGCCCGCTGCTCTTCTACGCACAGCACTCTCTCTGAGCCCTGGGGGCCCGCTCAGCTGATCGCAGGGTGGCACGGCGCGTGGCGACGCCGCTCTCCCGAGAAGGCAAGGTCGCCGGAGCGGGGCTGTCCGTCGTGACGTCACACACGACCCGATGACGTCACAGACGAGCGGAGGACGCAGCTCGAGCCGCGGCGGCGGAGCAGATATCTGCACGGCGCTGTGAAAGTCTGAGAGTGGGAGGTCGCCTATCCCGAGTGCGAGCTTCTGTTCCGGTCATAAAGTGTTGTATTATGTTACTTGAAAGCTATTTCGACTCCCGTTTCGCGTCACTGGCAGAGCGGAAAGGAATTGAATTTTCAGCTGTGGGATGAAACGCAACAGCCATATCATTGAATTATTGAAGGTCATATGCAGTTGAATGATGATTGGACAGGCACTTCCCGAGCGATCGGAGCATGTTAGAACTCAAGGGGATTCGGTTATGTGTCCCATCGCAATTGAAAGCACAACTTCATGCCATGAAGGTGAGACGAGGTCCGCATTCGCGCGAAGTACTTACCTACTGAGTACTATTCGTCTGCAAGTTGGAGAACTTAGGTTCGTGGCAAACTACAGCGTATAATCGACATCGTAGACGCTTTAGGCTGATACCATACGAATTAAGGCTAAGCGCCTTCACAACATCAGATAATCAATTACTACGCACTCCAACCACAAGGTAATAACACTAGCAAACAGAATATTAGATCAGCACAAACTGCATTAGCACAGCCCTCTACAGAGCGTGTTTTCAATCAACACTTTGGCGATTGTTTTAGCGAGTAAACCATGACGGTACGCCACTACACAGGGTTAGATGATGACCTTCGGAGTCGCCGGGCATATGGTAGCTGCTTCCGCCTCAACAGAGCGCCGGCGGGCCTTGAATGAACACTGTTTGATAAACAATGCTGCCGCCGAATTAGCACGAGTGACCAAAGGGTAAGTTGGGCACGAACTACGAGCCTAGATTATGGGATACCTGTGACCTAAGGTGATGAAATGAATACCATTTGCCACGTAAATATGATGATTCATGAAGACTAGAGCTCAACTTCTTGTTCAACCATTCGTCGGATCAGGCATAGATCTGGCGATGAGACGTGCTTATTTGGTGCTCAAAGTTAGATTTGAGATGTGCTGCTATTCGCATCTCTCAAAATCCTGATGGCATCAGGGCAGTCATAACAGCTACAAAGCGAGCCATTTCCACTGGAACGTTCACTCTCTACGAGGTATTATGAGCCATAACAAAGCTATACTGCTAGATAGGCTGAATGTAGAATAGTTGGGTCCGCTGAGATGGACTGAGATTGGTAAATATTGGGACTTGTATTTGTAATACCTATGTCCATTGCTCAACTCATCCAATATTATAGCTTCTGATTATTACAGCAAATCTTACAATAGCATATGGCACTTGGTTAAAACTGGATGAAATGCAGCCAGAAGGAAAATCGCAAGATAGCCAGAAATATGCGCACTGCGTAGTCTTTAAAAATCGCTTTACACTGACTGGTCTAACCGGTTTCATATAAAGTAACTGAGCAGCGCATTCAGCATTAAATGTCCTAAAACTGACATCAATAATTACCCTCTTAATCATTGTGGGAAACTCCAAAGTTTGCAGGTTTAACTAATGAGCAAGAACTCTTAAACCCTGTAACTCGCTCACCAAACATAACCTCCAACCATTCCTATCGAATCCACTCTTTCAACCATCGCCAGACCCCCACCCACTCCGCGTCTTGAGAACGACTCAATCACAACACAGGAAGCGCAGCGCGTGACGAAACGGCCCACCCCACCCGATCCGGCCGGTTGCCCAGTGGGCCAGCGTGTTTTCAATCGCACAGACAGGATGTTGGCAAGCGGCTTGACACGCGCGCCGATGCAGCCTCGCAATACTGGGTGAAGGTCGAGACGTCGCCGCGGCGACCACCGACTGCTCTGCACGCACACCTGGTGCGTGGTATGCGCGGAAATAGCTCCAGGGCTGGGTCGGGGTCGGCTCGCAGCGGAATGTTTACATTGAATCGGCGGGGGAGGAGAAATACACACAGAGAGAGGTGAATCAGGATGTCGGAAATAGAAGGCCGGAACAACAGACGCTGAGCTGGAGCTTTGATCGCTAGGCCACGACATAGTTCGACTTGGCAGGTGGTAATGAAAGCTTTCGATCGCACCAGGAGATGACCCTGTCCCCGATCTCGTGAACTCGGGACGCGTGCCAGGTTTGGGGACGGGGTGAGTCATTTCGCACGTGCTGCGCGCTACCCCGGGCCTCCACCTGTCGGGTGTTTGTCACGGGCTACACCTACTGATGGTAGTTTTTCCAGAAACACAGGCGATGTTGTGCGTTACTCTTACATCAGTGTTCGCCGAGTTCAGCCATTTGTAAGCAGCGTCCGACTAGTGCCAAGACAAGTGCCAAACAGCACTATAAAAGTGCCGGGCCTCGGGTATCTCATCAGACTGCTCTCTTTCGTCAAGTAGCGCAGAGTGACATGTGTGCACATCGTTGTAGAATCGGCCAGCTCGAGTTTCACACAAACAACAGACAATTCTGAAGTTCTTCCCGCTTATCTCACTCCGGACGCGACAATTCAATTTCAGGATGTTTGGCATGCATAATCTGAGTCAAGAATTTAGTTGAAGATACATTTAAAGCCGTAATAAAACGAAGGAACTCAGAAAGAACGTTATCGCAACGTTCTCACATGGTTTAGCTGAAGCGTGGTTTTATCCGTTTCGTCAAATCTAGCAATATGATATTATATAATATTATAGCCATCCTGGGTTCAGCAGTTTCTACGTCATATTTCGAACGCAGCCGCATCGTCCCAACTTTTTTCCACATCATATGGCACTCCCGATGGCCTGGTATCATATCTCCATAATATAGGTAGCTATATCCTGCCACCACTACTACTAGACACGCTTCGTTCCCACGGACGCCAAACATGCATGATGCGACCCCAACTGCGGTTCCTACCGCACATCTCATTCTCCTCCCATACAATCCGTCTCTCATTGTCACTACACAGTCCCCATATCCCGCCTCACACGTCGATCGATCTGCGACCGCCGCCCTACCTCTCCCCGGGGTGATCCGTGAGTCCTCCCCGTGGTCCGCGGCACGCGCTGGTACTCACCGAGCCGCTGTTTGAGCCAGCTGCTGGGGATGAGGCAGAAGCGGCCGGTGGGGTCGGCAGTGCCCACGCTGGCCGGCCGGCCGAACCGACTTCGCCAGCGCAGACTGGCCAGGGAACCTAGGGCAGCGGCGCGGCGACGGGGTCACTACGGTGCGGGGCGCGAGCGGGCCGCAGGCAGGTGAACGGAACACGCGGATACAGTGGTGCAGAGATATTGTGCACAGTGCGCGACCAGTGGAATAAAGATGTAGAACATGACACAACCTGGCACAGGCACAGCCACAATATACCATGAGACCTGATAGGAGGACGGAGGTACAGGCATACAACAACTAGCCACATTGATACCAGACCAATACCTGAGGAAGATAGGGGCCAACAGTCACCACCAATAGTCATGCAACAATTCATTACAAATGATTGCAAACACAATTGAGAAAATGCATGCTCTACTATTGTAGATACCCCTAAAACCCTCAGACAATACAATCATATCACAAAGCTAGAATACATTGATATGACTGACAAACATTCAATACCATGGGCACTGCAAAAGTCAATACAACAAACAGGCAGCATTCACCACCAAACATGTATCATAAAACTACAACAACCTGTGGTGGTCACTGGTCAGAGTGAGTGAAGTGTCTACCTGTCGGAGAGGTAGTTCAGTGTTACCAGCAGTGCCACATGAACTGATGGTGGGTAGACCAATGATTACAGCATTCAGACACAGACAACCTGCAGGGCACTTCCTGTCAGTGGAGACTGTTAGTTCACAAAATGAGTAAATGTGCAATGTAAATTCATTTATGTAAGTCACATGATCATCTTGTCATGCAAAAGTGGAGCCTGGTGTCAATACTCATCATTTGTCTTCATATGAAACTTTGGCATTTTGAAAGTGAAACTAGAGAGCCAGATAATTGCTTAAAAGATGATGTCTTTTACATGCTTATTACATGATAGGCATTGGATAATGCTTAATAATGGCTGTGCCTATAAAATGAAATGGTATCTGATTTTGCCAGTAACATGATCAAATCAAGCATTCATGGTGCATTAAAATGTTAAGAAAAGTTATCAAAATCAAATGATATTCCATTTGGTAAACCACATGCACATCTAAGAACTGTTCAGTGTTCACCTCTTTCATTCTGTAAATTTCATGGGGATTTACTTTGTAACTGCATGATTTTTCTTTTATTTTAGGGTGCCAAAAGGAGATTAACTTCTGCCTTGAATGTTACAAATAATTGCCATATTTATAATGTGTTCCTTTAGTTCATGAGTATCTCTACCATTCACAAAGATGTGAAACAATTCTAGAAGTATAACATTAATATTAGGCTTGGTACACCTTGCACATTTGCATCACTACACAGTTAGTTGAAAAATAAAATGGTCTAGTCAACCATGTCAGTATTCATCTGAACAGTGCAGCTTTAATATTTCCAGCAGGCAGGCTAACCTAGCAGCTTGTTGACACTTCGCCAAGGCGTTCTGATTAGCAGAAGTCTGCCCAATGGACCTGTGGTAAATGCACTGCAGTGTTAGGAAATCAAATGTCCTTGAATGGTACAAATACAAACTAGCACTACTGACAGATGTCACAAAAGCAATCCAGCAAATTGTGTGTCTCATAGTGTCAAAACATTGCACAGAATGAGAAGAGATTATGAAGGAACGCTTGCAAATGACCACCTATCTTTTAACGTCAATGTTATTGATGAAAACTGAATGACAAAGCAACAAAAATGTTTGATTGCAACAATTCTTAAAATCCCACATTAACATAAAAGTTGGTTATCACTCAGAATTTAGAGCTCATTCTAATGCATTCATTAACAGTGGTTTTACACCACAGGCAACACATTCAACCCCATCAAACAAGGCTTACCTGAGAACTCTCTGATTGCTTCATCGCCTTTGATTTGTTGTATTTCCTTCAGCAACAACTGCCTATCCTCAGATGTGAAGTTTTTAGCCAGGCTCCTCGCAGTTTCCTCCGTCAATCGTAACCTTGGCTGAGGATCCCTGTTATGCATCATATCTGTCACCGTTTTTTCGTCGAAGGGAGCCTGGGTGTTGAGCTGCTCCAGTCGCGCACAAGAGGATAGGCAGCCGTAGCCATATTTCTCGAGTAGTTTCTTATGTTGCCGTCGGCCACACTTGGAGAACGCCTGCCTCACCAGCACTCCCCTCGCGAGGGAACCCATTTTCGCGACTGACATCGCAACCGACGAAGCAAGCGAGCTGGCCGGCGGCGAATAGCAGCGCACCACAACTGCCAAGGCTGCCAAATGATCTGGCAGCTCTTATCAGTGCAGCGTAGGAAAATACCTTTCCTTTGAGTTCGCCCTTCATGTGTCAACGCTACCGATGTGTGACCTGGCAGATGCATGAGAAAGCGTCTTCAAAAACATGAGGTACTGTTACCACCAATTCACCTTCCTTGTCATAACTGTAAGGCTCAATGTAAAACAGTGATGCAAACTTGTGAAAAGCTAAGGCAGAGCAGTACCTACTCTAAAGCACGCACACCGTGTTCAGCGTTGTTCCTGGCAAAACACTCAGTCCAAAGTGACTCTTATTGTTTTGGATGCAGTAAAGCAGTCTCGAAGTGCATCCAATTTTACCGTACAGTCAAATTATTCGTGCGATGTATCACTCAGTATTTGGCCGTTTGGCGCTGACACACCGCCGCGTCCCAGGCCCCAAAGCCACGATCTGGGGACTGAGCTGCAGCTGAGCTGCCACCTATGCAATGGAAAGCATGTTGTGCTGCCATCTGCAAGGCATTGAGACACTCTGCTATGCAACCAACGCAATTACGGACTTTTTCCTCAGGCCATGGTTCAGGGCTGGAATATGGGCGAAAGCGGTTCTGAATACCCCGCGGTTTATCTACCTACTCCAGATGATGCGCAGGAAAGCTGGAATCAAAAATAGATCAGCTGAGAAATGAATAAATCACTGGAAAAAAGAATCATTAGAAACTCAGAAACATTAGTTCAATTAGCTGAGATAATTCCATGCGAGACAAGTCAGGGATTCAGCTCTGTGTGGGTCGGTCACACTGACACAAAACCGCGCTGTCCCGCTTTGGCTCGGGGGAGGGGGCGGACAGCAACCGAATAAATGGCCCACGGGGCTGCCGGCCGGGGCCAGAAGGGGCGGGGCAGGTGGGGGCGGGCAGGGGCGGGGGGAGGGGCAGGGGATGGTGCCGAGAACCCAATCAAAGGAGAGCGCAGCCGCGGCGCGGCGCGGACGACGCGTATTGTGATGGCGCAGCGTCGACCGCCGCGGGAGGGAGACGGGGAGCCGACGGCGCGGCTTTGTCTCCGAGTCGTTTCCGTTCCATTAGCGGGTAAAGGGGAAGCCGAGCTGCCCGCGCTCAGAAGGCAGGCTGCCGCCACAGGACAGCACACACAACTGCGCATTGCAGTAGTGGTATTCGGGGCAGCCCGCGGTCGAGCAGGGGGCAGGCCCGCCAAGAGTCGAAAAGCGAAGATCGTCATCGATGACTGAGTTTTTACTCTCTATGCCGTGTCCTGAACTTGGTAACTGAGTAGGATCCATGTTAGGCAATTGAAAGTAGGTAGGTATATGAAGGATAAGATCATTAGTCCGGCCATTGGTACCCAGCTTCTCTAATAAGACACATATGTGTAGGCTGGGAACACCATGTCAAACAACAAACTCTTGCTATTTTGTAGACCACGCGTCTCTTCTTCTCACACCTCGCCCTCGGTGATCTAGCACCGCTCGTCTCGTCTACTGCCGTTGCACGCGGCCCCAGTGACTGGGCTTTCATCAAACATTCCACCCCGGCCGACGGTGGTCGCATTAGGTGGGACGTGCCGACCATGTGAAGACCGGTATCTCGCTCCTGGCGCATCGTTCAGGCCCGTCGTCACGTTGTTCTAAACATCCCCGCGCTCGTCGCTCGCGGAAAGGACGCCTGACGGGACTCTTCCGTCGAGCGTATCTTTCCAATCATAAAGTGCTCGTATAATTCACTCCTCCTCACTGGGCTGCCTCAATGCTTTTACTTCCAATATTTTCAATACTTTAATACACTTTGTATGCTCGGACATTGCAGGCACGGCCGGTGGCGCGTTACGTAGAGTGCAAGCAGTCAACAAACAACGTCCGGCTGTGTTCCAGGCTCGTATTTTTCGTGCGGATCCACCCACTCGTCCGAATCAGTCCATGCCTGCCCCAATTCGGTCCGATCGACAAATTGATTCCGTGCCGACTGGGTTTGGTGAGCCGGTGGAGGGGAACAGTGGCACTGGTAAAGAATTCCTGCGCTGTGTGGGTCGGCTGTTGTGGTTGAAATGATGCATGGCTGCTGCTGTTGGTGTTGCTGTTGTTATAAAACAGCCTAATGCGCGTCATGCAAATCAAACTGATGTGCGAGGGTATTTAACAATGCTATTCATTTTCTCCAGTGAATGAACCTTTCATCCATCAATTGTGTTTTTATCAGCCCGAAACGGTATCTTCATTATAAGGTCGCCTTAATTGTTTACCTTTTCACCTTGAATGAGTCTTTTATCCGTCGGTCATATTTTCCATCAGCTGAAGCGGCATCTAACCAGGTCAACTAACGCCTTCACCGTTTATGGGTTTGGTTTAATATTCACCTTGCTTACCGTCACGCCGTCACACGATAACAATCTGGTTCGAAATATTCACCCCTTGCGATGCACACTCAGATCGAACGGTTCATTGAAAGGCACTTGAACGTAAGTGAATATTAATATAAAATGCATATGTGTCATAGATAACATAGTGTGTAGTTATGAACAGAGGATGACTTGTCCTTTGGATGGCATCCAGAAAAGCACTCAACCGTCCTAAGGTGGACGGGCAAACCGATCGATCAGTCAGCATGAAAAAGCAGCACTCGAGCCATGCGAGCTTGTCGAGACCTATAACCCATCGAGGACGGATTGTAAATGGCTTTGGGTTGCTTGCAATTTGTTGCCTGCTTTACAGTTGGCGTGTAAAAGTTCAATGCCATATAGGTATGCTGCGGAAACCTACAGGGTGTCCCATAAGTTCGTTCTCACCTAAATTTTACGTTTTTAGGCTCTCTTGCTTAAAGGCACGCTGAAATTGGTTCGTTACTGAGCTTACGTGGTTGCCATGGCTGGTAGAAATATGCTCCACAGTAACTAATTTCTGTAGACAAAATAGTTTTTGCTAGAGAGCCCGTTTCCTACACAGACGGCTAACGCCGCAACATAGAGGTCTCCAATACGGGTACGTCTCGGTATTTAGTCAGCACGTGACCATTCGCGACGATTGAGGGTGATTGAGGCCTACCAGTCTGTAGACAATGTCCATCGCTAACTGGCCGCACAGTCAGCAAGTGACACCGATGATTTGTCGGGAGTCAATCATTGCAAGTTTATCCTCTTTTTTGTCAGCTCTCAGGAGTGAGCCATGTGGCCAAAACTGTGTGGCGCCAAAGTGGCCATCAAAAAGGTCAAAGGGCTAGAAAGTTGGTAAGCAGACTTTTCAGGATGGATTACCAGCTGTCTAAAATTGTTCTTACGGGGTACATAACTCAAGGTGACTTAAGCTTTGCTTACCGGAGGGCTCAAAGCAGTCAAAAACGTCTTAAAATGGCCAAACATGAGTTTCGTTATGCCTGAGGCTAAAAAACTAAAGGGCTGAGGACATCAACCAGGTCATCTGGACCAACTAGTCCACGTTCGAGATGAAACACCCGTCCAAACCCGAAAACAACCCCATAAGGGCGAAGGAGGAGGCCTCCGTTTCGTCCCGTTATGTTCCTATGCGAAAGGCCAAGATCACGGTATTGTGGGGTTATAGGCGTCCAGACGCTGACCAGGTTGCGATTGGTGTCCCAGAAACAGCTTTGGGAAGCATAATGCTTTTCCAAGAAAATCTAGAAGGAGTTTCAGCCCTCAAGCTGAACTCGAACCGCGAGTATGAACACATTTATAGAGGAGAAAATGGCATCCGAGAGGTCGTATGCCCATCTTCAGGCAAGACAGTGCATCAGTGCACAGGCCAAGCAAAGCTTAAAAGCGGTGGAAGGAGACTGTGACAGGCGTTTGTGGCAAGACCACATGCCAGGCACCTCATCGGATCAAAATTTCATAAAAAATTGTTGGTTATGCTGAAATTTAGGCTCGTCGAAGCGTAGCGCTGTTCCAGCCTCGAGGAGCTCACGGCGCATGTCAAGTCAGTCTGGATTAACTTTAAGCCTGCTATGCAGCCAAACATGCCGGTTGGCATGCCGCAGCATGTGGTCATGTGTTTGCCTATTAAATAGGGAGCACATTGAGGGGTCATAAATATATCAAAACGCAAAGTACTCTGTTTCACATGCAAATAAAATGTGAGAACGAACTTATGGGACACCCTGTATTCCGACCACGCAATGCCGTGAGTAGGTACCTACCTAAATGCAAAGCCAGCTTTCAACACAACAGTCAAGAAGTTCGTGAAGAAAGCTGAACAGTTAGCCGTCACGAAGTTCAAGAAGTTCGGTTGCAATTTAATGCAAAATTACATAAGGTGAGGTCGCACCATGCAATAATGCTCTGGCCAAATGCGTTCATATAGCTTATTTATAGAAATTCACAATTGGATGCCTCACCAGCTTGAAACTTTATTTTGAATAGACAAATACAGGTATGTTTTGATGACGAACCAAAAAAAAAAGAAAAAAAAAACAATACGCGTATTTCAGAAGGCTGTTTTTTATGCCGGTGTGCTTAACCCTCGCCCTGGCAGGGGGTCGATGCGACCCCCCCCCCTAAGGTTTTTCGAAGATAGCGTAAAAACGGCGGCGCGCAGCGCCGCCAAATTTGGCACAGCTTATGGGGCAACCTTTTTACATAGGACCTGAAAATTTCAGGTCCGGGTGACCTTGGGTCAGGTCACCAGGTCAGAAAAACCGGTACAAGGTCATGGTCAAATTTCAATTTTCTTTTTGCTCCTGTCCAACTCACAGTTTTGGACTGATTTCCTTCAAACTTTCAGGATGTGCTAAGTTCACCGAGTTGTATAACATATAGTTCGGGTTTTTCGAGGTCACTGACCTGAGGTCAGTTAGAGGTCATTACGTCGTAATGTTAAGCCTATGGGAAAATACTAAATTCGGAAAATACTGGATATATCCGCTTCGTTCTATCACTTTTGTGCTTTGAAACCACAGTACTTAACAGCAGGTCACTTGGTGCTTCTTTGTTTGGTGTACTTATCCATGGGTCAGGTCAAATGAGGTCAACTGAGGTCAAATGACGTTTATGCCAATAACTTGGCACATAATGACGCTAGAGCTTAAAAAATGGTGTCATTGTGTTCCTGGTGATCAGCCGAATCGAATGATATGCGATATGATGCAATTTGGTTAACTTGAACTTAATTGATTAATTAAAGTTTACTTAAAAATTAAGAAAAACTTTAAGTACACTTAAACAGGCTAAAAAGTATATCATTCGACGCGCCTTGACGTGCTGAGTTCACTGGTGCTTTTCTTTTTGCTCTATCTTAATTAGATCAAAAGTTATAAGCGAAAAACTTTTGACCTGTTTTTAGCGAAATTTTTACATTTATACCCCCAAAACCCCCCTAAATATTGACCTAGAGCAACCAAATTTGCACAGGGGCGAGAACTCCAGGGGGCCCACCTATCTACCAAATTTGGTGTTTCTAGGTGCCATAGGAGCCAATCGCGAGGGGGGGGTCGCATCGACCCCCCCCCCCCCTGCCAGGCCGTGTTATGAAAAATGCCCTGCCAGGGCGAGGGTTAAACTATGCAAAATACGCTAACACTTACAGTCAAGAACAACTTATAAAAACGCATAATTTTACATTCAATTCGACTCTATGATAATATATTCGCTCATCTTAATCACCACTAGCTCTTCGAAGTTGACGGCTTCCGCCATCCAACAAG